TTTTTCTTTTTTGAAAACATGGGGCATGCATCTTAGTGTCCATTTTATTGGTGAGGTCTCGAACTAAGAAAAATAAATGGCGAGTCTTGTTGGGTTTAAAGGAGGGAAGGAAGCAAGAGAGAACCAAAAAGTGAAAGGAGTGAAGAAGCCCACTAGGGGATCATGACCAATCGTTATACTGTGCAATCATGTCGATTTTGCAAGGTAGACACGGTTCTATGTTCATAATTATTAAACTATATATTCATAATTATAAAGTTATATACTCATAATTTTTAAATTTCATATTCATAATTATTGGACTCTATATTCACAATTACAGAACTTTATGTTCATAATTACTGAACTAATTATTCATAATTATAAAGCTATATATTCATAATTTTTGAATTCCATATTCACAATTATTGAATCTCTACATTCATAATTACAGAACTATATGTTCATAATTATGTTCACAACTCTATGTTCATAATTATAGAACTATATGTTTATAATTTTTGAACTATATATTCATAATTATGAACAGTTTTGGAACTGTGTCTACCTTACAAAGTGGACACAGTTTCACAGCATAATTTGCCATTAACCGGCCATCGGGAGACCCTATCGCACCGGTAGGGTAGGTGGTGCGGCCACTATACGTGTGTTATGGCGGTGAGGGAGAAAAATATTAAAAGAGGTGTAACTACTAATGGGTATCAAAACCATAACCTCTTGGATAATAGCACACCCACTAATCAGCCAAGTTACTTTATCTCTATGTAGAAAGCGCGATAGGTTATACATATTCAGTCGAAGGGCACTGGCAACAAAGTAGTGATGATGAAGATGTGACACATGTATGGCTAAGGTGAAAGGCTAATGACGACCACATACTTGTCAGCAAATGAAGGACGGTCCATATATTATATAAGGGGCCTCATGTCTTCCCTTTAATTCCTTTAAACATCATCCCTGGACGAACTAAATCCTAGCTAGCTTAGTGGCGTCTTGTTCTAACTTTCTAAACAAAGATCACTGTTTGATTCCTAACAATTACAATATTATTTCTAATCCATTATTTGGAGTTATTTAGTATTTGGGCCATTCTTTTATACCATATCTCGACCATTATACATATTCTTTTGAGTCTAGCACCCCGAACAATAATATTATTAATTATTTTCTTACCTCTTAGTTTGTACATTTGTGATTTCGTACTAGGTTTATAGTGGATTCGAGTCTCGTAAAATTATCAATATATATATATATATATATATATATATATATATATATATATATATATATATATATATATATATATATATATATATATATATTTTTTTTTAAATATTATAATTTTATGTATGATATTGTAAAATTTATCTTATGTAAATAAAATAAAAACCGACTTGTAGTTGCACGAGAAAATGCATGTGGATTTGTCGCAGGTTCTTGATGTTTTTTGTTTTTTAAATTTTATTTTAATATTATTAGAATGAGAACGAGCTGAGGATGGCAGGAAGCTGTCCTAATCCTATCATTGGACCAACTGTCACTTTAATCTTTCTTTTTTAATTATGAAACGCAATGATTCGTATAATATGAATACATTATACATTAATCATAAGGGCTAAGGCTTAGAGACCAAGTCAGGCTTGCAATAAAATTCTGTCATCAGATTACAAATTGGATTCCATGTAAAAGCGATAAATTCAAAAGATAAAAAGAAAATTGTAAATTATTTAATTGTTTTCTTTAAATCCATATACCTAAAAATTTCAGATTATTATCCAACTTCACCCATCACCTTAATGTAACATAAATTTTATCTACTTTCTAAGTTCTGACCACTATCAAGATTCATTAAAACTAAAGTAACAATTCAATTATGACTGAAAATTTCGCCATTTCTGACCAACGATTTCGTCCAACAAAAACATTGATTAGATTTTTGCAAAAAATAAAAATAAAAATAAATAAATAAATAAATAACTTCAAATGGTGGAGATAGTTGGACAGTATGTTGGCCGGAATTTTTCATCAACGACGTTTATATGGTGGACGGTAAAATCTAATTGACCGGTAAGTAAGAAGTTAGAATGGTATGGTTGATAGTTTGAGGATTTACCGACCAACATTGTGGGACGGAAACGCAAGTACTTAAATACACATATAAAAGGTCAAACTTAAAAAATTCGAAAGTCGCTATTTGAAATTTTAAAAGTCGGTAGTTTCTTCTATCAATAATTTTAGAGTTTAGTAATTATCAACTTTTTAAATATTTCCAACTTGTTATATTATAGATTTTGCAGATGTTGTAAACTTAACTTTTATCTATAAATCTTTAATTTTTGACTATTTTTTCAACCATTGAAGTATTGTTTTTAATAGTGTCACAAAATAAATTAAAAAGAAAAAAAAAAAAGGAATACTATTATCTAAAATATAGAGAAGAGGATTGATGAATGACTTTTAGCAAAGAAGTCACTTTCTTCTTAGTTGGATAATGTCAATTATTAGCTATTTTCATTTTTTTTTTAAATTTCTTTCAATGGATCTATGTCAATGGTTTTGAACTTCCCATCCCTTATGAATTATTGAATTTGACATTCTGCCAGTTGCAGGACCATGTGAAATATATCATGTTGTACTTTAAATAGTAAAATATTATAGAGAGTATATATAATATATTTCTTTTTTTGAGCATGCATTTGAAGAGTATGACATAATAAAAATTTTAATAATTTTATATTCCAAATATTTAGAATTAGCATCTAAGGTAACCAAAAAATAATCTTTATTTTTATTTTTATTTTATTACAAATGTTCGAGTTGTACGTTTAGCTTATAATGTTATACTATAGGATTGCGAAAATTTTCGTAGTGCCGTGTTTGTGCAAACGAGTGTGTGTATAGAGGGAGATACAAATTTTTAGTATATGCGTTAAATCAATTGTTAACCTTGTGATTATAATAATGATTTTAGACTCCTTTCACACTATTTGATTTCAACTAATGCGAATGTAGATAATTTAATTAAAAAAAAAAAAAAGAAAAAAAAAACGTTACAAATATCGAAAGCGATTATTTTATTTTTTTTTTACCTCCAAAGGAGGGGATACCCCAAGAGTTAAAATGGAAACCTCAGGTCCCTATGAAGACTTCTACAGGACAAAAATACTCTTGCTAAAAATAGTATCTTATTAGAAAAATTATCGGAACGATTAAAAGTGTCCAAAAAATAAAAGTCTATGATGTTAAATATGGCAAAAACGATACCCTGGGACTAAATTTGGAATCACCACCAAAGACAAGGAACCTTGGTGGAATTAACTCTTTATTAAATTCATCATTTCAACTAGAAAAATCAAAATGCACATTTATCCGATCCAAATTAAAAGTGGACCCCACTCATGTTTTTGGTTAGACCACAAGGTATCGTGAGTAAACCCTAACTATATGAAGCACTTTTAATCTCGTACTATACTCAAACTAATTTCGTTTACTCCGGACCGACCCAATTAAAGAACAAAGTACCGGTCATATTAGTTTACCCCACTCAAATTAATACTTCAAAATATTCCCTTAAAATGTCAATTCTACTAATGTTTCCAAAAACAATCAATGGACAAAACACCAATTATGGTCCATGCAATGTCGTCTAAGAAAACGTTAAGCATATATGGATAACAGAAACTCAGCATGTGTGTTCTTCATGCCAAAAATGTGCGAGCAATGTGCCAATACCTATTCCACCACCAGCTGGTTGTTCCGATTTGCATTTTCCGGTGGCTTTGCGGCGGCCGTGGTTTAATTATTTCCGATTGAGGATGTGAATATATAATGAACCTGGTGGCCTGGTTGATGCATTTTAATGAGTTACGTTGCTTGCTCATATGATGCATTTGACTCTATGTAACATATATAAAAAGACAAGATTAGTTGTGTGTGCATGGTTGGGGACATTTGTACCTTAGTATGGGGGATTTGATACTCCTTATAATGTTTTTTTTTTTTTTTTTTTTTTTTTTTTTTTTTTTTTTTTTTTTTTTGTCTACTTTTACTAATCTACAATTGGATTCAAATACTTAAGTAATTATAAAATCAATTATCTTTTTTCTCCTCTACTTTTGAACAATGGAATAAAAAATGAGAGAGAAAAAAATTAAAAATAATAATAAAAAGATCATTGTCTATGCTTTAATATATATCCACTTATATGTAATATATATATATATATATATATATATATATATATATATATATATATATATATATAAATTAATTAATTATTCATTTATTTTAATTATTCCAATTCCAATTCCAATTTACAACCAACCATAGAGACTCTTTTTATTCAAATTCATTATCATTACTAACTATTTGATTCCTACTATGAAAAATTATATTTTGGAACAGGGTCCACAATGCAAGGTGAACCTTAATCCAAAATGACATTCAGATTATGTATGTACAGTTAACATATTATGTGTCTGCAATTAACAAATTGAATCATTATTCTATGGACCATGGTCCACACAGATACGTGGATGTGAATAAAATGTACATTTTAAATATACTAAAGTGATAGAAATAATATACCCCAAATATACGATCTACTATACGATATACAGTCCTAGATTGGTCTGAATTCAGATCCTATGCCTATATAAAGGGCCCTAACCCTTCATTAGAGGGGGGAGGCTTTTCTGGCTAGAGACTTACCAACAAGATTTGCTTTAGGCTCCTTTACCTCTTGTAGCAATCGGATTAATTGTTGAAGTGATTCGGAAGGAATAGGCGAGGTTGACTGGGCCGTCATAGGTTGACTATTAATATTTCATTTTTTGTAGAATTTGTGCCCGGGAGGATACCCGTGAAGCTTGTAGCAAACTTGTTGCGTATGACCAAGTGTCCCACAATGAGCACACCGTGGTCTCGGTCGATGGTTACCCGAACGAGATGTGGAGGATGATGCATGCGCCCTATTTGTAGATGATTGGTTGGCAGCGGTATTAAATTGAGGCATGGAAGATATATGGGATTGCATGCAATGGGCCTGGTGCATCAATGTCAATTCGAGCTGTCTGAAGAGTCGAATGATCCATTGAATGTCCGTAACTTTCGCTCTGTACACGTTGTGATTCATATTGAAGCAATAATGAGTAAGCATTTTTAGCAGTAGGAAGTTTACCATTAAGCAATAGTTGGCTCCGTGGTTGAGTGAAAGTGTCTCGAAGGCCCATGAGAAATTGCATTAGTCGGCGATGCTCCGTTTGTGCAGTGTATTCCTGGCGAGCAGAGCATGGACATTTAGGTGGAGAATCCAACAGGTTTAATTCGTCCCAAAGTGCACTCAAATGATTATGATATTCTGCTATGGATGCATCACGCTGGGAAAATGTTGCTATACGCTTTTCAATTTCATAGATGCGAGGTCTATTCGCGGTAGAAAATCGTTCCTGTAAATCTATCCAAGCGGAGGCAGGGTCGGTGGCATATAGGACAGTGTTAGCCAGTGATGAGTGTATTGAATTGAGGATCCATGACATCACTATGTTGTTCACCCGGTACCAACGAGCGTGATCGGGATGGGCCGCATCTGGCATGGGAAGGGATCTATCAACAAAACAAAATTTGTTGCGCCCTTTAAGGGCCATTGTCATCGCTCGTGCCCAAGGATTGTAGTTATCAATGCCGGTGAGAACATTGCTAACAAAAGTGGTGCCCGTGCCATCAGAAGAGTAGAGATAATATGAATTTTCAGCATCGAAAGGGATGATGATGGGTTGCTGCTGAATGGCAGAACCAAAACCAGCTATAGCGTTGATGGTAGATTCATCTGTGGGTGTTGTTGTAGCCATCTTTGGAGATTGGAATGAAGTCCCAAAAGAAATTAACAAAGATGAATAAGCTATGGGAAATTGAAACCTTCTGATACCATGTTAATTTTGCTATGTATGCATGAATACATGAAAAAAGAGAAAAATATATTAATTGTGTATATTAACTTACAGTGTATTAAGGATTATACATAGCATATATACAAAACTATTCTAACGGTAAAAAAAAATGGAAAAAGTAGAAATACATATAATTAAGCTATTTACCTAAAAAGATAGACTAATAGACTTATCCTCCGACTGGTTTAGGAATAAGTGTTACATCTCAGATCATCTCCGACTGTTTTTCAGAGAAGGCTTCAGAGACTCTACAGATCTGACAGGTTTACTATCCTCTTTTCCGTTTATGTTGTTTTCTTTTGGTTCTATGTTATCCCTTTGTTCCTTTGACTAGTTTGTTTTCTCTCGTCTCTCTGGCGAGTGTTTCCCTCTTGTCTCTTTGGCGAGTTTTCCTCTCGTTTCTTTGGCGAGTTCTCATCATAAGCGTGGAATGATAAAATGGTCTCACCAGAGTCAGGCTTGGCTATGTTTGACCATATCTGTGAAGAAGCACCGAGTTCATCCAACAACTTTGGCTTCAAATTTGTAAAACAGTCTGCGATCCAAGTTTCCTATAACATTGTTAGGAAATTTGTTTCGACGGTAAAGAATGCATTGTCATTCTAACGATCTGTGTTATAAACATTTTTGTTTATGATTAATGCAAAATTAGCCTTTTATTTATTTTTTATTTTTTTTTAAAAAAAGATAAACTAATAACATGGAAATGATATTACTAAATATATACATAATTAATATGGCAAATATTCTTCTATAATTACAGACTCAAATTTTTTTTAATTTATATGTTGTAGTAGGAATATTGCAAATTAAACCCAGCCGACAATAAACTCTTTTTGTTTTTTTAGGGTAGGAGTGGGGGTATGAAGCTTCTAACATTGGCCTACAATGATGGCATGATGAGTCTCACTTCCCAACTTTGATTGCATGTGTTCACTTTTAAGTACAACCAACATCCACCCAAATACTTTCGGACCAAAACTCAAATAAATATTAGGGAACACAGCTGTATTCTGAATGTGAATGTGAACTTTAGCCGTTTATGCACTTTGCTTATTATATACTCCCCTCTTTGTTGGAACAAACGCACAAAATAATATCAAAAAACAAATTTTACAACTTCATTATCCACCCCCCCCCCCCCAAAAAAAAATTGAATATAATTACTGTAATGCGCAATTAAAGAATTATTTGTAAATAACGGTTAGCTGATAGATGTTAAAATAATAAATAAATACATTAAAATAATACATGCTCTGTTTGGTAAATGGATGTTAGCTGTTAGCCGATACCTGTTAGCTGATTGTGTTAAATAAATAAATACGTTAAAATCATACATGCCCTGTTTGGTAAAATGGATGTTAGCTGTTAGTTGATACCTGTTAGCTGATTGTGTTAAATAAAGGGTGTAAACAGTTGATAACATTAGCTGATTGTAGAAAAATGTTTGATAAATTAGCGATTAGCTGAGAGCTATTTGATATAATTTCTTTTCTAAAAAAGCTAATTGAAAAAGTTGTTTGGAGTAACTTTTTGAATTTTAGCCTTTTGGAGTTACAAAAAACTAATTAACCAAACATTTATATTGGTATTTTAACTAAATCAAACAATTAATAGTTGACAAATAAGTCAAAATTGACCTATAGGCTAATTTTTTACCAAACAGGACCACAAGTAAATTTTAACTTGAGCAGGCAACGTGTTGACCTTGTAAGTTGTAATGGCTAGTTAAAAGAAAGAAAAAATAAATAAATACTCCTGTCTGGCTCTCTCTGTTTCGGCAAAAAAGAATTGTGACTCCCACTTTATTTTTGTGTTGCGGCAAAATGCATAAAGTTGCCATTATCTTTTTCTCTTTTTACATCCGAATGCACGGCGTACAGACCACAATTTAAACCCCTTTGACATACATATACTTTTAAAATGTTATTTTCCTTATTTTACACATTAATGTTTACCTCTTGATATGAATATATGATAAGGAAAATATCATAAGTTCAATTAAACGCCAAATAATAAGGGAAATAAATGATAGAGTTAAGTAATAATTGCATAGAACAAATGCATTTGATTTTGTATTTTAGTTTAATAACATGTGCTAGATTGAATATGACAACCTATAAGTCATATTATACATTGGTCCGTAACAAACACAATTATTGTTTATGTGAGTCACTCAATGGCCAATTACCCCCGGATCTTTCAAATGCCTTAACGTGTCATAATGGTCTCAAGACAAGTCTTCTTTGAATCGAGTTGTGTGTTTGGGTCCTAGCTAATCCAGAACTTAGTCATGTTTTGACTACGACTAACCTCTCATTTATTATTATTATTATTATTATTATTATTATTATTATAATTATTATTATTATTATTATTATTATTATTAAAGTTTAAAAAGTCTTGTTTATTAAATAGACAATCAACTAATAATGAAAATTAGTTTTATTACACTTATTATTAATTAATCATAAGGGTAGTCTACTTAAAATTTTTTTCTTTTTATGCTTTTATTCAATCAATACAAATTTAATGAATGTAGTTGAAGAAAGGGTAATATTATAATACACATGCTCTCATTTTTTATTTTATGTTTTGGGTTAGTCTCTTGTGAAACTGTTTTACGGGTCTCAATTAGTGAAATATGTCATACTAATGAAAATAGATTATAAGAGAATTGTAGGTATAATAAAGTCTTATATATAATATTTTATATTATAAATATTATATTTTATAACAAATCTGTAATAGATAATTTGCAAGAAATAAAGTAATAATATAACAGAATTGCATATATCATTAATACTTTAAGTCATATATATAATATTTTATATTTTATAGTATAAATGCAGTAATTTATAATGAAACTCTAATAGACAATTTGCAGGAAATAAGGTAATAACATAACATAAATGCATATATAATTATTACTTAAAGCTTTATATATAATACTTTATATTATAAATATAATACTTTTATAGTAAAACTGCACTAAACAGTTTATAAAAAATAAAATAATAACATAACATAATTGGAGATAGAATCAATATTCTAAGGCTATAGTTTCTTGAAGGCTAATTATTTTTCCTCAAGAAATAACATTTTTCTAGCAAGAATATATCAAAGTGGGGCCTTCAAAATTTAAATACTCCGTAGTCTACTGTCACGTTGAATTTTTAGATTTTAGAGAAAAAAAATTACTGGGCATGTAAGAATGAAAAGGATAAAAATAAATAAAGAAATAAATAAATAAAAGAAAATAACAAATGCAGAAGGTACACTTTCCTTTTCTCAGTTCATCTACTTTCTTCGACCACATAGAAAGAGTAACTCCTCTCTCTCTCTCCAATGGCGTCTCTCTTCAGAGATCGAACGTTTGGGCATTCTAAGAGAGACTCCTTCTCTTCCACAGCATCGGCGGCCGCCGCCGCCATTATATCCTCCGCCAGTTCCCGCTTCTCCGGCACCACCACCACCAGCTCCGCCCTGTCGCCGCTCCCATCCCCATTCGGCGACCTAACTCCGACGCTCACCGCCACTGACATCCGTGAGACTGCCTACGAGATCTTCGTTGCAGCATGTCGCACCTCCACCGGCAAGGCCCTCACCTACATTCCCTCCTCTGCGGACGGATCTCCCTCGCCGTCGCCGTCGTCCAACTCCAATTCCTCCTCATCCTCTCCGTCGATGCAGAGATCTCTCACTTCCACTGCCGCTTCCAAAATGAAGAAAGCCCTGGGCCTCCGATCCAGCTCTAGTTCAGTCTCGAAGCGGGCCGACGGTAGTCCGGGCTCTGGGGGGAAGCCTAAGAAGCCTATGACTATAGGTGAGCTAATGAGGGTTCAGATGAGGGTCTCCGAGACCGTTGATTCGAGGATTAGGAGAGGTTTGCTGAGGATTTCTGCTAGTCAGGTCAGTCAATTCAACTTGCTGTTTATATCTGTAGTTATACGCACATGAAGGTTTTGAATTTCGAGCATAGGGATGGTTCACTAATCACTATTGTCTTCGATTTCTAGTCAACGTGTATTATAGTATTTCCAGTGAAACTAAATCTTTCCGATGTAATCCCTCTAGCATTTTAATGTACTGTAAATTAAACTTTGAATGATGAACTTCTTTTGTATCTTCTGCAAACAAATTGGAACATTTTGTTGCGTACTAACCCTAGATCTAATCTCAAAAGCCTCCTTCCATTATTCGTTGTCACTGTATGTCCAAAGTCGCTACTTGATTTTCATAGATTTTGTAACCGAGCCTGATCATGTTGTATTTGTTTAAATGTTTATGATAACCTTTTAATGGAAGGTTTTATGCTTTGACAAGTCTGGACAAATGGGGAACTGAAATGATTTTCCTGTATTCTAGGATTGACGTTTCACCTTGCTTGATTTAAGATGTTTTGATTAACTTGCTTAGTTTGTGTCCTTTGAGGTGTTTTCTAGCTACACGGTTAGGAATTAACATTTGTCAATTATTGTTTTTTAGTGATATTATTCTTTTCACTTGTTTGGTCTTGCCATTCTTGTCCTGTTGTCTCATGAATGAGAATATAATTAATTATTCTCTTTGAGTTTACTATGAACTACTCTCACATGATATGGACTTTCATGATCTTAAATATACTCTTTAGAAGAAGACAAGATTTTATTAGCAGGTTGCCAGTTCTGATGGACGTCATTTTGTATATCTGCTATTCATCAAAGAAGAAAAAAATCATGTTGTGTTTGACACGAATTGGAATAAGTGTTTTCACTTTTGATTTATAATTTTATATTTTACCTGGCATAGGTTGGAAGAAGAATGGAGTCAACAGTTCTCCCGCTTGAGCTGTTGCAACAGTTCAAATCTTCAGATTTTACTGATCAAGCTGAATATGAAATGTGGCAGAAGAGAAATTTAAAGATTCTAGAGGCTGGACTTCTTTTACATCCTCACATGCCACTTGATAAGTCAAATCCTGCTGCACAACGACTGAAACAAATCATTCAAGCTGCATTAAACAGGCCAATGGAGACTGGGAGAAACAATGAGTCAATGCAAGTCCTTCGAACTGCTGTAATGGCTCTTGCTAGCAGATCATCTGGTGGATCTGTCCTGGAGTCAAACCATTGGGCAGATGGTTTCCCATTAAACCTTAGGCTCTATGAGATTCTCCTAGAAGCCATTTTTGATGTCAATGACGAAACATCTATTATAGAGGAAGTTGATGAACTTATGGAACTCATAAAGAAGACATGGGGGATCCTTGGCTTAAACCAAATGCTTCATAATGTTTGCTTTACATGGGTCCTATTCAACCGCTTTGTAGCCACTGGACAAGGTGAAAATGATCTACTAGATGCTGCTGATGGTCAGTTAGCTGAAGTTGCTAAAGATGCAAAAGCAACTAAGGATCCCGCATATTCTAAGGTCTTGAGTTCTACACTAACTGCAATGTTGGGTTGGGCTGAGAAAAGACTCCTTGCATATCATGAGACTTTTGATGGTGGAAATATTGAATCAATGCAAACCATTGTTTCTATTGGTGTATCAGCAGCTAAAATTTTAGTTGAGGACATATCTAATGAGTATCGACGTAGGCGAAAGGGGGAAGTTGATGTAGCTCGCAGCAGAATTGATACTTATATTAGGTCATCGCTTCGCACTGCTTTTGCTCAGGTAAGCTATTTTGTCTGCTTGACCCTTTTATAAAATAACTTTATTTATTTATTGTTTTTAATGATGGAGTGGGGTACCTTCAGCGAAATTGAGACAGTTCATAAGAAAACAACAGTTCTATATTGCAACCAGATGCGAACCATGTGCATAAGATTCATACATGAAGGTCTTTGACTGCCAATTTATAAACAGTAAAAAAATGGACTAAAACATTTGATGTAAAAACTTTTAATTTCTATTATATCACTAATGTACTAGAGGTGGCCAAATCCCGGGCCTGGGCCTAGGTTAGCACTGATAACCTTGGCTGGTCCCGGGCTTGGCCCAGAATTTTTTTATTTATTTTTATATAACATATTTATAAATTGTTTCTTTTTTTATTTTTTGTTTGAAATGAAATTTAAACCATTGACCTCATGATTAACAACGAATGTTCTTACCACTTAAACTACTCCAACCTTTTGATATAATAATGCTAATTAATATATATATATATATATATATATATATATATATATATATATATATATACACACGCTCACTTTTTCAAAGTTAATATTTTTGTTTAAAATAATATTTTAACCATTAATCTCAAAATAAAAAATTAATATAATTTTCTACAAAATTTAAAATTTATACGACTTTAATAACATTTGAACTTGTACTATTAAAATTTTTTATAAGACTTGTAATATTATTTGATAACTTATAAATATTATAAAGTGTATTATAATTTATAAAGTCCATGCTAGATTTTGTCCGGGCCTAGACCCGGGCCTGGGTCGTGCTTGGGCTGGTTAGGGACCTGGGCTGTGCCCGGCTGGTTAGGGACCTGGGCCGTGCCTGGGCCTGGGCTTGGGCTGGTTTCGAGCTGGGTTCCCGGCTTTTTTAATAAGACCTGAACCAGCCCTCTATAAGCCGGTTCAGGCTTGGGCTAAGCCCGGTGAAGCCCAGGCCCGCTTTTTCCGGGCCGATTCACGGCTGGTTCGACCTTGAACCGGCCCGTGGCCACCTCTACTATCACAACTGTAACGTGTAATACAAAAATCCAATGGAAGTGTTGTCAGTGTTCAACAGTGCATACGTACTTGAGCTAGGTTCTAGTGTAATTGATTTTGTGTTTCTAAACACGTTTGTGAATACGATGGAAAATAATCATGTGCAATGAAAGCTGCTCCCTGTATACAATTGTGTGAAATGTTGCTTCCCTTGTTATTCTTCTCTTTGTTCTATGTTAGTTGAAATTTTGAACAGAGATCATTTTTTATTATGTAAATATACAGAGGATGGAGAAGGCAGATTCAAACAGAAGATCATCAAGAAACCAGCTAAATCCTCTCCCTGTCCTTGCTATCCTTGCAAAGGATGTCGGTGAGCTGGCTACTAAAGAGAAGGAGGTATTTAGTCCCATCCTCAAGAGATGGCATCCCTTTGCTGCAGGTGTGGCTGTTGCCACCCTTCATGTCTGTTATGGGAATGAGCTGAAGCAATTTGTTTCGGGTATAACGGAGTTGACACCAGATGCTGTACAAGTATTGAGAGCTGCAGATAAGTTGGAGAAAGATCTTGTGCAGATTGCAGTTGAGGATTCAGTGGACAGTGATGATGGTGGAAAGGCCATCATTCGTGAGATGCCACCTTTTGAAGCTGAAGGTATAATAGCCAACATGGTGAAAGATTGGATTAAGATGAGAACAGACAGGCTGAAGGAATGGGTTGACAGAAGTCTTCAACAAGAGGTATATACTCAACCCTAATTGTTCTGTCTATAGGGAAAATTGTCATGTTGGTAGCTGGTGTGAGCTTTTGGTGGTAATGACATTAATTTGCTGTATCATTGTTTGGGAGGAGGGGGGGGGGGGGGGGGGGGGGAGGTTTTGGAGAGGATAAAAAAACAAACTTTATCCCCAATCTCCAATTTTAGTTGATACTTGTGCCAGTATGTCCTTTTGTGTGTGTGTGTGTGTGTGTGTGTGTAATAAGCATAACAGAGGCTACACTCTCAAAGGTGTATATGCTTCAACTGTGAATATCATTTGAGGCTTACAAATCATTCTTCTGTTAAAACTTATCAAGTATATGTGTATATTACATAAATTTTTGAAATTGTTTGATGAAATATAACATAAAAATAATAATGGTCTGGGAAAGACTTGTTAGACAGTCAAATATAAGCACTGTCTGAAATCAGGCCAATTTTCTGAACTTAATCTTAACTTATCATAAATCTTTGATTTCATTTTGTCCATGTTATTGTTGAGCTTACACCTTTTTCCCCTGTTAATTTGTTTTTATTCATTGTACAATTTGTGTTATACTGTTTTGTTATCTGATCTTGCTTTTTGCATTTTATAGGTTTGGAATCCTCGAGCTAATGAAGAAGGATATGCTCCTTCTGCTATTGAACTCCTGCGGAGTATGGATGAAACAATGGATGCATTCTTTCAACTGCCAATACCAATGCATCCAGCACTTCTTCCCGACTTGATGGCTGGACTTGATAGATGTCTTCAGTACTATGTAACCAAGACAAAATCTGGCTGTGGTAATTTTTCTGTTCCTATAATACATATATAGTGATGAACCGTCATATCTAGGACCTCTACTAATCATTATTGGTGGTTTCACATATAGGATCAAGAAACACATATATTCCAACTATGCCAGCATTAACTAGGTGTACCACGGGGACAAAGTTCCAAGGTGTGTGGAAGAAGAAAGACAAGTCAATAAATAATACACAAAAGAGGAACTCTCAGGTTGCAACAATGAATGGAGATAGTTCCTTTGCGATGCCACAGTTAGTAGTGCGTATAAATACTTTACAAAAAATCCGAACAGAGTTGGAAGTTCTTGAAAAGAGGATTATCACACTTTTGAGAAACTCGGAATCTGCTCATATAGAGGACATCTCGAATGGTCTGGGTAAAAAGTTTGAGATTACACCAGCTGCTTGTGTTGAGGCAATACAACAACTCAGTGAGGCAATGGCATATAAGATTGTCTTTCGTGATCTAAGTCATGTCCTATGGGATGGTCTATATGTTGGGGAGCCCTCTTCTTCGAGGGTTGAATCTTTCCTCCAGGAGCTTGAGCAAAACCTCACAATCATATCAAACACCGTTAATGAAAGAGTACATACACGGATTATTGCTGATATAATGAAAGCTTCCTTTGATGGTTTCTTGTTGGTTTTACTTGCTGGAGGGCCATGCCGTGCATTCACTAGGCAGGACTCCCAAATAATAGAGGATGATTTCAAATCTCTAAAGGATCTATTTTGGGCGAATGGAGACGGATTGCCAACCGACATCATAAACAAGTATTCAACAACAGTAAGGGATGTCCTTCCACTCTACCGGACAGATACAGAGAGTCTCATAGAGCGTTTTAGGCGACTGACTCTAGAGGCATATGGGTCCTCTGCTAAGTCCAGGCTTCCCTTGCCACCAACTTCAGGTCAGTGGAACCCGACTGAACCCAACACCCTTTTGCGTGTCTTATGTTACAGAAACGATGAAGCTGCTACAAAGTTCCTCAAGAAGACTTACAATTTGCCCAAAAAATTGTAGTTGGTCTTAGTGGAAGAACGAACGGATCTTCTGCAAGTGTTCCATATAGCAGCTTGCAATTGTGTGTAGAGAACTGACCCCCGGATGCTCCTCTTGCTCCTCAGTTAAGTAATGGCGGTTTACTGTATAGTAATTCAAATCCTAGTTATTCATTCTGGCCTAGTAATTTTTCAAAGATCACGCTATCCTTGATTGTCTTAATGCTTTTTTCTCAAGAAAATATATCAGCTAGGTGAAAGATTAGTTGTCTCCCATGCTTCCAGATGTTTATAGGTTATATATCAGTTTTGCCTATATTTTATGTACCTGTTGTTGCCAGCGTTAGGGTTCTTGTGCAAGTTTCCTTATTCAGCCCTATATTCATTTGTTATTATTTGTTTTTTTTTTTTTTTTTTTTTTTTTTTTTTTTTTTTCCAATGTAAAGATTGGCCTTGTGTATTGTTACAAAATCTATTCAAATTTATTACCAGCATATATATGTGTGTGTGTGTGTGCAAATCTATTAATACTCTCTTGGCCGAATTGGCCACACATTTTCTATATAATGCATTGTGTAATGTACAATTTCAAGTAGTGATTGTAGATTTTTTTCATCATTAAAAAAAAGAAAGTAATAATTTTACCTATTTATCAATAAACATTAAAGGGAAAATGATATATTTGATTCTTGAGTTATACCTATATTGATAACTTTGTCGTTTAGTTATAAACGTATCTATTTTTTACCCCTAAGTTATGAGTGAAGTGGTACGCTTGGTCCTCAACATTAGATTTCTGTCTCAACCGGACAGAAAATCCAAAAACATTCTATTATTGGAGGGGTAAAATAGAAAATTTATCTCTTATTCTCATTCTTATATTGAAATTATTTTCCACTTTCTAATCTCCTATTTCAAGGTTACTCAATTCCAAAAGCATTTCAATAACCCTCGTATGACTCGTTAGAACCTAGGTCTCTTATAAGAAACTTGAGACTCAGTACAAAGAATGAAACACTTAATCAGAGTCTTCTAAAACATACTATCCTAAAAATTTCATATTTTCCTTACTAAGCAACAAGGGTATCAAACTAAAACTTTTGAAATATAAGAAAATGTCAAATTTTGTCAAGTTGCTTTTATGAGATATTCAATAAGTAAATAACTTGAAGTTTTGAGTAAAGTTAGTGACAATTTCATATTTACTTCTAAACTATCATTTTTGCCTTCAGCCATCTCATACATTTAATCTTTGGACACTTCTGGTACTTTGGGGACCTTTTCCAGCTAATGTCCATTTTATGCAATGGCATCTGCTGGAAGTCTTCAATTTCATTGGTGTTAATGCCTAGGCTTCAGCGGGTTGAATATGTTGTGTTGATATGGATCAAAGTAGCTCTGTTTAGCAGGAATTTGGGATTTCTTCTAGCCATGATTAGCAGTAGGTTCGATCTGTCCAAAAATTGTACTTGAGAGAGAATGTCACAAAATCATACGACTTGCCTTATTTATGGAAAAGTAACAAGCACAAGAACGAAATTGGTTAGTGCGCAAGAAAGAACCTTTATATCCTTCATACAATTTAATATCCTTCAAAAAGGCTCTTATATATAGTGGTGCAAATTCCTTCCTTTTTTTTTTTACAATGTGGGCCAGTGTTTTTTACAAGTCTTTCAACCGGAGCGTTATGTTGTGCATCCGTATGCACACAGATGCAAAAACGACGTCGTTTTGGCATCTAACTTAAAAAAAAAAAAATTTAGAATTGCATAACTACACATTCATAATTTCACTACACATCCATAATTTCATAACTATACATCCAGAATTGCATAACTACACTTCTTCCAGAATTGCATAACTACACTTCCTCCAGAATTGCATAACTACACATCCAGAATTGCATAACTACACTTCCTCCAAAATTCCATAACTACACATCCAGAATTGCATAACTACACTTCCAGAATTGCATAACTACACTTCCAGAATTTCATAACTAAAAAATCCAAAATGAATTAACATAATGTTGTTGCTGGGAATCGAAACTGATTTTTTTTTTTTTTTTTTTTTTTAAGTAGGACAAGCGTTTTATGCAAAACGACGTCGTTTTTGCATCCGTATGCACCATGCAGGGTGCATACGGATGCACAACATAATTTTCCCTTTCCACCCCTATTTTCCAACACAAATGAGTCTACTTTGAGAATCAATTTCTCATTCACCCATTATCCGTTTTGAACGTACAATATATCGATCTCTTCATCGCACTACAGAAAACCCGAGGACTCAAATTAAAAATAGACCCACATATATTTGTATCGTTACATTTCAACTTTAAATACATATTCATACGCTACACATATACATAAAAAGCAAAAGAAGTAAAAACAACTACCTTGTTTTCAAAAGAAGGTAGTTGCTCTAGTAGTTTTCATCACAAAAATGACAAAATAGTAGGGTAACAAATCTGCACAATATTGTCCTTCCCTTTTCAAATTTACATATTTTAGGTTGTCTTTGGGTCTTCTAGACGGAACTTGAGACTCGAAAATTACAAACTTAGTCTTAGGTTCCTTATAATCAAGTCTTGTATAAGCTAGTGTTTGGTTTTTAATCCCTTAATTAAAAACTCAACATATGCGCCATGGAGAATTGAATTGAAGCATCATATATGCATTTTATTTTGAATGCCCAACACAAGAAAATTAAAAACAACACGAGGCCAGATCACACATCACTTCCGATCCGACCTAATTATTTTCCACAACACACATATATATATATAGAGAGAGAGATGCAATATAATTATTTATATATTTATCTCTTGCAGACAACTCCCCTGCCATGAATTCCACTTGCACATTCTAAGCTGGCATACTCGATGATATTGTTCTGATCATCAGTACTTTCACCTTCATTCCTTCCGGTGAATCTTGAAACGCCGCAATCCGTCAAAAAGATACCCGAAGAGAAAAACTGTTTGTCTCCACCCAGAACCGGCATCGCCACTCCCATCTTCACCCGGCTCTCGTACTTCCTCCCATAAGTCTGTCCCAGAACCCCATTCACCTCCCCGCTCAGCGACTCGAACTTGAAGCTCAGATCCAAATGCGCGAAACAGTCTTCTCCGGTGATCCCATAGTTATGGACCCGCGATTCCTCCTCCGTGATGGGCACCACTCTGGCTTTGATCCGGAAGTTCCCCTCCACGGCAATCACCACGGCGTTGGCGTCGCCGGTTCTCGTGATAGACACTCCCGGAGCTCCGGCGGGTTCCCACCTGGCGCCTTCGCCCTCGGCGAGGAAGACTGGGTGGCCGTTGAAGGCTAGGTGGAGGCGGTCGTCTGCGTCGTTCCAGGTGGGGGTGTTCTTGGCGCCGATGAAGAGCTGGTGGTGGTCGAAGAGGATTCCGAGGGATTGGACCCATGTGAAGTCCCGCTTCATGGTGGGGTTACGTTTTCCGATGAAGTGGGCGTTGATGTGGAGATTGGGATCGGTGACGATGCAGAAGTCGCGGTCTTTCTTGCCGTGGAAGTAGAAGGTGATCCCATCGCCGCCGATGAATCGTGGGTCTTGGCACACCGCTCCTGGTTTATTGCAGTCTGAACACGTACATACAACGTAAATAACAGATTTATAAGCTCATAATATATATATATATATATATATATATATATATATATATATATATATATATATAAACGCTCATATGTGGTCATGTTATTAGGTGTGGTCATATCTATGTCGTTGAATCAGTTTAATCTAACGGCAATGGTAATTCTGAGGATTTTCGCGCGTTTTGGTAAGTGGGGGTGTTATGGTAATTACAATGACCATTTATAGCGGGCGGGTTCCAGAATACACCAACAGTGTTGACAACATACACCAATAGTGTAATAAAACACACCACAGTGAAACATACCAATGGTGTATTTCCGTGTTATGGTAATTACAGTGGCCATTTATAGCGGCCAGGTTCCCGAATACACTAAAAGTGTTGACAATATGCACCAATAGTGTAATAAAACACACAACAATGTGATTTTCCCTATTCCGGTGTCTTATGACAAGTTTACCCTTGCAGTTCACTGCGTAGGAGAATGTGCGCGAAAATACTGAAAAAATCTTGATTAATATGATTAATTGGATCTATCTAATCTAATGACCTATAATTGACCATATGACCACACCTAACAACTACACACGAATGCACCAAACATCTGTGCATCCTCCAGATAGTAGTTGCGGTGCATTCTTTGGCGGGATTGGAATAGTTTCTAGTTGCTATGTATTCCTTCAATAGTTTGCAAGATCATATGAGAACATTTTTTTAGGTGAGAACGTATAGTACAAATAAGCATGAGTGCACATAATTTACTGAATGGGTGAACACAATCTACTCCAAGCATATCTGGATGGTGGTGAAGACCTTGGAGTAGATTGCTCATGTTTGTTTGCACATTCTCTATTTACCAGCCTGCCTCTCTCTCTCTCTCTATATATATATATATATATATATATATATAGTAATAAATATTAGAGTTGTATGTATGTATGTATGTATACTTACTGCAAACAGGGCTGCAAGTGACACAATCAACCTCACAGGTGTAAGGACAATCGGTGGGGCATGTATGCTTCTGGTGGATGCAGTCAGGATAATACTTGTTCTTGCAAGACACCGTCTTTGGTTTAGGAACATAAGCCTTAGGGGTTGCCCCTTCCGCCACGATAATAAAGAAGAGGAGGACAACGCCAATGGTGGTCGCTGAAACTCGTCGGAGACCCATTATTGGATCGCTTCAAATTGATGAAGAAAAGATGAAAGCTAAGCTTTTGTGGTGTGTGGCTATATATCACCAAGATTTACAGGCCCTTATATAGATGATAGATGAGAGGCCTTAGCCCTTAGGGTGTTGTAAGTTGGCATTGAAGCAAATTAAAGCCTGCAGATTCGTTTCCCTTAGCGTACGTAAGACTTTAGACATGCATGCATCATGCTATAGCTATTGAAGATGTTAATTGAGTGTTCCGCAATGTTTGGAAAATGGAACCTGCAGGTTTGAGGTTTCCACGTGTATGGCTTTTTTTTTTGCCATCAAGTTTGGGAGAGTCAACCAAGTTGCTTCACATACACAAAAACATATACTAGCACAAAAACGTACTCTTTTAATTTCATGTTTTTGCTATCATATATGCAAAACATAACTTTTTTTTTTTTTTAAAGAAAAAGCCAAGCCAGTTACATAACTTCATAAAGGCAATTTGTTGACATGAAATGATAGTGTCCCTATATATAATTAATGTTGATTATATAAATGCACTCACTCCTATTTTCAAGATTTACTTGCCAATAGGGATTATATTCAAAGTGGGCTGACTCCTTGAATTATCGTGAATTTTTTTTGGATACTACTGACTCTATTACATTGTAGTATCTGTTCAAACATACTTATACTTTCTCAACCCATCGAAACACAAAGAGTCAACAACGCATCCACTGAGGCTCGATCTCATGACCTCCTATATATGGGAAAATCACTACATGCCATCTAATGCACAAGGTGTTTTTAGTCTTACCACTATATAAAGAGGGGGAGAAAAAAGATATACGGGGGCATAATTTTATTATGAGGATTCCTTTTATTTTTCGCCCTATATCATATAAATTCATTATTTCTTTACTTTATTCTCCGGTGAATCCACCAATCTTCCGGTTGTGTTGGACCTACGTGGACTTCACTCCCCACTAATTTTTCCCTTTCTTTCCATCCTTCTTCACTTTAATTTATGTTAATTTCTTCTACCCTAACCTTCGGCCACCGACGCTGCAACCGAATGCTCCGAACTCTCAACCCCATTCAGAACCTCCGCGTAGCGAGTGGCGGCATACTTCTCGGAAGTGAATCTCTAGGTCTTACAGTGCCAACTAATGCGGTTACTGCATTAAACCTCTTTAGGATTCATCCGTGCATCTAATTTCTAGATTTAATCAAATGCTATAATATTGCTATAGCTACTAACATTATATTGTAAATTGAGTGTTCCTAAACGTTTGGGAAATGTATGCTGAACCTGCCGGTTTGAGGTTTCCACATGTGTATGGCTTTTTTTGCCATCAAGATTGGGAGAGTCAACCTCGTAGCTTCACATACACAAAAACAGGTAATTGAAGTCCCTGTACTATAGTATTTTGTTTAATTTAGTCCTTGTACTTTTATTCTGTTCAATTTAGTCCCTCTACTTTAAAAATGGTGAAATTAAGGATAATTGTCCAAATCTCATTAGGAACATGGTTGTAATTATTCATTTTAGACATACTAATTTAATATATTTGTGGTAAAAATAATTAATTTTAAATATTTATAAAGTAATATATAAGTAGGAACATAAATATCGTCAACGCCGCGTAACTTAAGTTAACGTTAATATTAACATTGTTAACTATTGTTCTTAATTGCACCACTTTTGAAATTATAAGGACTAAATTGAACAAAATAAAGGTATAAGGACTAAATTGAACAAAACGCTATAATACACGGACCTTGTAGGTATTTTGACCCACAAAAACATACTACCACCAACTCTTTTAATTTCATGTTTTTGCTGTTATATATGCAAAACATAATAATAATAATAATAATAACAACAACAACAACAACAACAACAACAATAACAACAACAATAACAACAACAACAACAACAACAAAAACAACAACAACAACAACAACAACAAAAACAACAACAACAACAACAACAACAATTATTATTATTATTATTATTATTATTATTATTATTATTATTATTATGTTTAAAAGCCACGCTAATTACATAACTTCATAAAGACAATTGTTAACATGAAATGATAGGCCAAGCACCATGTGCTCAGATGACATGTAGTGATTCTCCCATATAGTATAGATGAACAGATTCTACAATGTAATAGAATAGTAGCTTTCAAAAAAAAAATTGAAATAATAGTGTCCCTATGATTAATGATTAGATAAATACACTCCTATTTTTTTTTTTTTTTAGGTTTACTTTGCCCCACAGATTAGGATATTCATCCGAATTGTGTTAAAATCTTTGAAAGAATATCTACCAATAACTACTATGATGAGCCAGTTGTTAAATTAAAATACTTATAATATTAGTGGTTGGATGAGAAGTCTCACTTTAAGATTTAATTTGCGTCTAGTGATAGGGTGGGGTTCGTTTTTTGAATTGTCATGAACATTGGGGGATCGGGTTAGACTCCTTGTGCACAATAGTGTACTATTCAGTATTGAGTCTCGAAGTTAGAATAACTTGATTTACCATATAGAAATAGAAATTTAGAAGTAGTTATCGGTGGAGAATGGGAGATGGATCAACTATTCACATTTGGGGTGATTCATGGCTTCCCAATAATGTCTCACCTTATATCAGAACTCCTTTGATTGATAATATTGAAGTATCTAAAGTTTCTAATCTTTTAAATGAAGCTCAAACTGGATGGGACATTTCTATGATTGAAGACATCTTTGAGCCTGCTGATGTGGAGATGATTAAGAGTATCCCGTGGCTGAAGTTAAATCAGAGGACAAGATCATTTGGATGGAGGAAGAGAAGGGGATGTACACTGTCAAGAGTTGTTATAAGAAGCTGATTGGAGATATGCAAGGAGTTCAAATGCCTAGTTGGACTAAAATTTGGAAATTGCAGTTGCCACCGAAAATTAAAGTCTTCTATTGGCAGGTATGCCCAGGTTCCCTCCCTACTCATGATCTTTTGCGAACTAGGAGGGTTCAGGTTCCACCTGTGTGTCAAATCTGCAACATGGAAGAAGAATACATGCTTCATATTTTCTCTAGATGCGTGTTAGCAAGAAGCTGTTGGGGGATTATATAGGCAAAGAGTCTCATCACTATTGTGCCTCTTTCAATGAAGGGCTTGATTACAAATTAACTCTCCCTCTGACATTGATTTGTGCTTCCTGATTGCTGTGTGTTGGAAGATCTGGGAAGTCAGGAATGAGAAAATTTGGAACAATGTTATTTTATCTACTCATGCTGTTGTTTCAGGAGCCCAATCTTTCATACTAGAGTGGCAACTGGCAAACCATTCTACTGTTCAACCTACATCAAGCTCTGTCCGGGAAGCAAAATGGGAGAAACCCCCTTTGGGTTGGCTTAAGCTTAATGTTGATGCAACCTTGGATTGTGTTAACAGAAGAATGAGGCTGGGCTTTGTGTTGAGAGATGCTGAAGGAACTTTTATTGCTGCAAAGGAAATTTCCATATCTGGCTTATTTAAGGGAGGCTTTAAAGTGGATTAAGGATCTCCATTATGACTTCATTCAGATAAAGTCCGACTGCTTGAACGTAGTGGAAAGCATCAACAGCCAGCAACTCTACTCCTCTTTTGATCTCGTCATTAATGATGTTAAGGAATTAGCTAAAAACTTTTTGAACATTAGCTTTTTGTTTGCTAAGCGATCTGTGAACAAGGTTGTCCACTTGCTTGCTAGGGAGGCATTGTTTAAGTCTGACTGTTCGATCTATTTTTCGATTCCGTTTTCTTCGGTTGTTTTTGCTCTTGTTTTAGACTCTAATTAATATATCAGTTTTCCGTTTTCTCAAAAAAAAACATATAGAAATAGAAATAGTAATTCTAATCCCAAACAGATCACCGAAAATAAACCAAGTCAAACTTGAACAAGAAAAAAAAAATGAAATTCGCAAATAAAGATCAAATCTACCACGTGGCTTATCCATCCAAATTTAAAGCCATGAAGGGAATATGAATTCTAGTATTTTGATAGTGAATGTTCCTAACATACCACTAGAAACTCTAACAATCTTGAGAAAATAAAAAACCTTGATGATGGGGCATGTCACATTAAGAGACGGCGCTAAAGGAAAGATGGTTTTTGACTTTTTATGTTCACGTATCGTAAGAAAGAAGCTAAAATAACACTCCATTGTTCCATTTTACCTATCATATTTACTATTTATGAGTCAACTAACTTTTTTTTTTTTACTTATTTTATTAAAATTAGTTTTTTTTTTTGTTTAATAATACTTTTAATTTAATTTTTAAATATATAAATTTTATACACTAATATTAAATTTAATATTATAAAAAGTTAAAGTAAAAACTAAAAATACATTCAGTTAAACTTCATTACTCGAATAAACACATAAAATAGGAAGGATGGAGTAACAATAAATACATACTTTTCCTTATTCTTTCTGTTTTATTAGTTGAAATGTATTTAAAACGGAATGTAAACATCTTTTGTGAGACAAAAAGCATAGTTTTTTTTTTTTTTTGAAACCAAAGGAAATAGCATTAATAAGCCAACATGCTGGAAATACAATCAGGTGGTACATCAGACCAAGAAACTGAGCCAGACGAAGAATCGGTTGCTCGTGCAAGAACATGAGCCACTCGATTCGCTGATCTCCTGACATGGCGAACAACAACGTCCCCAATGCCTCTAGCAATTTGTATACATTGCTTCACGCCTAGTCCTACGTACGAGAAATCTAAATTGCAGGAATTAAAAGCATTACAAAAGACTAAACAATTGGATTCAATAATCAAATGATCATGACCTAAACTGCGAAGCCATTCTAGCGCTTCTTTGACCGCACAAGCCTATGCCATTAAAGGATCATGATTGCAGGTTAGCCAACCATTTCTTGCTGCCACAAAGCGCCCCTCATGATTACGGATCGCCGCCCCGAACACACCGACAGACGAGAGCGTTGCGTCGACATTGCACTTCAACCAGTGTAGCGCTGGAGGCTCCCAATTCGCACCATCATCGCGTAACTGAACTCTGGTATTCTCCCGTTTGTAAGTCTCATTCCAGGTACTTATTAACATCGAAATCTGATTGTGCATCACCTGCACTGCCCACACCTTATTTCTCCACACTCTGTCATTACGCGTGGTCCAAAGCATCCAGAAGATTGCAGCCATACGCACCGCCTTCTCCTTACGCAGGTCAGCGAGCACCGCCGCAATGAACGTATGGAGCGACATACCCTACAACCCATCATCCCCCATTCCAAACCTGCCTTGCGAACCAGCAGTCCCCAAAAAGGTGTTCGGCAGTTTCAGCATACTGAGCACAAAACGGGCATCCTCCCCCAATCCAGACACTCTTCGCTTTGAGGTTCACACGCACCGGCAGGATTCCACGAACACAACGCCACAACAAGTGACGAACCTTAGGCGGAACTGGGAGTTTCCACAACTTCTCCCACGCATCAAAAGCTCCCGGACCGCTATTCGCTAGAGGACTCGCTGTTAACAGCTTGTAGCCGTGCTTAACCGTGTAAATCCCTCGGACATCCCCCGCCCAACGCCACGAATCAGATAGGTGAGTAGCTATGGGGGTTGCGACAATCCTGCGCACATCAGCTTCATCAAAGAGGTCCTAGAGCACCCCTTCATCCCATTGCCCTTCAACGTCCATAAGACCGTTCACAGTAGCGTCTCGCAGCAAATCCACAGGAGCAGTAGTGAGGGCGGGATTGGCATGATCAGCCAACCAAGACCAACCCCATATTTTTGTATCCCTGCCATCCCCAATCCACCGTGCTAAACCCTCTTTCATAACACTTTGACCTGCCAGAATACTTCGCCACATGTAGCTCGGGTTATTCCCAAGAACAACATCTGTAAAACTGCACTTTGGGAAATACTTTGCCTTCAATAATTGACTAACCAACAAATGCGGTGTAGTCAAAAGCCGCCATCCTTGCTTGGCAAGCAACGCGATGTTAAATTCATGTAATCTTCTAAATCCCAACCCGACCTGGCACTTTGGCACACTCAATCGATTCCAACTCATCCAGTGCACCCCTCTGCTGTTTGAATTTCCTCCACCCCACCAGTACCGATTGAACAACATTTCAATCTTGTCACACATCCGGGCTGGTATAAAAAAAACGGACATAGTAAAAATGGGAAGGGCCTGAGCAACACTTTTGAGCATTACTTCTTTACCTGCTTTAGAGAGTAGCCTCTCACGAACCTTTTCCTCTATGTACCGAAAAGTAGCCGACTTGTTACGACCTAGTACCGATGGCAACCCGAGATACCGACCAAAGTCCCTCGTTTCACGGACACCCATGCAATCCGTAACCAAACCTCGCGTCTCGGCTCCAGTGTTAACGCTGATCATGGCACTTGATTTGTCGTAATTGATTAATTGCCCTGAAGCTGAACTGTAACGATCCAAACACCCCTTAACCGATTGAGTTAAAAGTTAAAAGTTAATTGAGTTGCTTTAGAGTAAAGCTTAAATTTGAATGCTACGAATTTGAGAACAAGAGAATTAGAAGAATGAGAGGAGATATGAGTAAGAATGAAAAATTGTTAGGGAACGACTAGAGTTCATGTTAAAAGAAGTAATTTTGGAAGTGGCGTTTTACCCAAGTAGAGTAAGAGTAGAAAGAATCCATCTTCGTTAAGGAAGAATTAGACAAGGATTCGTTCCGAGTTTATATTAGTTCAAACAAATCCCGAAAGAGGAATTGGGAAGTTAAAGAATTGACTAAAGGAAGTGAGATGTCTTAAAGTGACGGACTACACTCAATTTTGACCCGACTTGAAGATTTGACAAAGTCAGAGGACCGAATTTGATTCAGGGTCGAACTGGATCCAACCCAGTGGCGGGTCTAGGCCACGGGCCGGAACGGGACCCGTTCCGTGTGACGGAACGTGGTCACGGACCACGTAATGGTCCGTGACCTGGGGGCCGTGTCAACTTTGCTAACAGCGGGCCTTGGCGTGGGCTATTGGGAGAGCCGCTGCCAAGCCCCACCTCCCTAAACCTTTGAGTTGTTTTTCCCGAAGCCGAGAGATCAGATTCCAACCATCATCTTCTTCTCCTCTGCTTCGCTGCACACTGCCTCAACCTCAACCAAAAGCCTATCTTCTCCAAAACAACATCTTTCAACAAGGAAACTTCACAAGTGTCTTCCCAAAGTCATACCAAGTACCAGAAAAATACTTGTTGGAGTATTCCTTGCAATTTCAACAAGATCAAGACCGCAAAGCTTGGACCACAATGGTGAAAGGGAAACAACAAGTCGAGGGAACTAGTCAGGAAGCACCTACCTACATAGTAATAGGAGGTAAAACCTATTTCCCCTAATTCTTTTCTGAAGATTTTAATAGTATTTTGGAGAATCGAGGTTTGTTGAGAAAATTTTTGAGAATCCAAGAAGAAATTTACCCTGATTTAGTGATTGAATTCTATGAGAATTTGTCCACAACACATAAGAAATGAGTAACTTCGGTTGTCTCTAATGTGAGAGGCACGGAAGTAGAATTGACACGGCATAAATTGTCAAATTGGTTTGACTTATCGATGGATGGATTGGATACATATGATAGAGAAGATAGGGTTGCTCACGCAGGGTTGACACATCAAGAGTATTTGAGATACATGACCGGGAGTAGGGAAGAGTTCCCTAAGGAATATCGTCCCTAGAAACCTACTTTGACTGGAGAAAAGAAATTGCTAGTTTTGTTGATAGAAGAGTGCTTGTTCCCGTATAGAAACAACTCTACAGAGATTGGTAGTTGGACATGTACCATTGCTTTTATGTTGAGATTTGGTCGTGTTATTAACTTTCCAGTTTTGATTCTTAAGCACATGGCTTACTTTAAAGCAAGGAACAGGAAGAATCTGCCCTATGGCATGATGTTGAGTTGGGTTTTCAAAAAGATGAATTTACCTGAGATGGGAGAAAGAATCCACAGGACTACTAGGTCGGCTCTGAATGCCATCAACCTGAGATACTACGAGTTGTACCAAGTTGCTGAGAACAAGTATTTGACCCTAGCTGACATCGCTAAGAAGCCCTTGGACGTGAAGATGGCACTTGTGGTTAGTTTGAATGTACCACAATGAAAGTGGTCGAGTGTTGGAATCGAATCAGGACACATAGCTGAGGCTAGTGGAGAAGGGGTTGCAATGAGAACCGATACGGGAGTTGGCATGAGTTATGAAGGAACACCACTTACAGCTACCCAACAGAGAGCACCACAGGAGTATATGAGTGGGCCTCAAGGACCTACTTATGAGGACCTTTATGCTATGATCAACAACCGTTTTGACAATCTGAGTGCTCAAGTGAGCTATGGTTTTGCCAACTTTGATCAAAGGGCTGCAGTCATGGAACAAAGGATGGGGATTGAGAATGTACAGAGATGGACTCCCTATGGTTGGGATCCAAGCTACATGCCACCAGGCGATTCCTCGGGAGGCTTTAATCAAGGTAATTAGTTAAGCTCTTAAGTTCAGTTTTAGATTCGTCGGTGCAGTTGCTAGATTTTAGATAAGATAGATACGAACTCAGAGATTCCTAAATCTTTCCCAAGTCTTCCAACAGAAAATTCTAACCTTTTGGTTATATCACCTTTTCTCTTCGAGAATTTGATCCAACCGTTTCTTCTAAGTTTCGGGACGAAACTTCTTTTAAGGGGGATAGAGTGTAACAACTCAAAATTTCATTTTATAAATCCAGTATTAAGAAATTCCAAAATAGCTTTTTCACTCCATTAAAAATTTTTGCGATCAATCGGAGTTTGAATAAAATAATTTTGTCGCATTTTAAAATTAATTCGACACCGAAGAAATGAATCCCATTCGAAAATCCCTAAGTTTTCGGGTACTTCGCGTACCAAGATTTTAAATCGAGAATTTTATCTGAGTGAGACCGGGAGAATTCAAAAAGGATTTTTGAACAAGTGTTCATCCATATAGCTTTTGAGAAAATTCACTTTCAACCCCAAAGTAATAAAATATAACATTTCTAGCCTATGGTTCATGTTACATGGTGGACCACAAGACATCCAAAATCCCTTATGGAATCATCTTTTAGCTTGAGAAATTACTCCTTTGCCCTCAACCAATCGTTGTGAATCATCCTAGGGTTTTGAACCCTATATAAATCACCTCATTTCATCTCGTTTTCCTGATCTCATTCTTTGCCTCTTCCTCACATTTTTGTCTGCCAAGAACAAGAAGAGAGACAACAACCTAGTAAGCTTGTTCATCCTTCATTCTAGCCTCTTTTCTCTTCTAGTTTTCTTTAGTCTTTGAAGTTCTAGGCTAAGGATAGAAGGTGTGTTTGGGAAGTGTAGGTGGTGAAGGAGGCTCAAGCTAGGTCAAGAGGAAGAAGAGATCCAAGCAAGAAGATTAGGCTACAAGAGGTATAACCCCATGGATTCCTCTTCAAATTTGGCTCTATGAAGCCTAGTTTTGAGTAGAAATGAGTAGAAACTATGAGTTTTTTGATGTGTTTATGCTTAGAAGTGATTTAGCATGTGTTTGTGAGTTGTTGAGATTGTTTTGGACTTGTTTGGATGAAATTTTGCAGGAGAAATGCCATCTGGTGCACAACGCAGTGTGCACCAGATCAGAGTGGCGGCCCTAGCCGTGGCCCATTAGAAGGGCCGCTGGCTAGAGCCGTGGTCGCACGGGACTAGGGCACGGCCCTAGAGGAGGGCCGTTGCCTAGTCCCGGTGCATCAACGGGGATCCAGGGGCAGACTATGAAGAGTCCCGCCCCATGTCCCTGAGTATTGTCTGTGAAGGATTTTTGTGCAGTGGTCGGGCCTTTGTGGCTCAGCTATGTGTCGTTTTGGACCGAGTGTTACGGGCCCTTGTGGCTCAAATCTTCGGGATCGTCTCGACGCACGTTTTGGCTTTGATTTCGTAGAATTTGGATTAAAAACAAGTATGTTAAGAAGGATTTTGTGAAGAATTGCTACACAGTGAATAATTTGCTAGTTTACTGTGTATGAAGAATTAATTGATTATTTTGATCTGATGATATTTTATTGAGTAAAGAAGCATGATCCTTTGAGAAAATGATCTATTATGAAAGCATGATTAAATTGTGTTATTTGATCAATGAGAATAGAAGCATACTTGTTGAGTGAAATATATAGAAATTCCTATTTTGCAAACCGAGCATGATGATATATTCTTGAATACTTCATGTTAGTTTATACATGATTTAGAAGCATGTTATAGAGCATTTTAACATTTCACATGAGTCATATTTCAAAAATGCATAAAGGGCCAACGTGAGTCCAAGAATACTTTCAAAAACCATAAGCATGTGATATATCATTCTTTGATGCATTAAGAAGTAATAGAATTGTTGCATGCATGAGATTGATGCATGAGAGATATATTTATGCATTACCTATATCGGTGAGGTTTTGGAGGATACCGTTTGGACTATGTTCCTCTCGGGAGATATTTATGGACATTGCGGTCCCAGTATATGTAACGCGGCGTATTCCCATGTTACGAGGTTGGAAACTTCCCGCCAGGATTGGAATCCTGGTTAGGGAGTGTGCACACTAATAGTTCGATACCTGACTCCACAGAGTTTGAACCACGAGATTGGTTCCGTAGACGGTAGGAGATATTGGGTCGAAATTATGCCGTTCTCGATGGGGTAAGTCACACTTCTGTGAAACCCTAAGCCGTCTACGAGTATAAAAGAAAGAAAGAGAGTCAACAGAGACTCAAGAAAGAGAGTCAGTAGAGACTCAAGTATGAGAGTCAATAAAGACTCGAGAGAAAGAAAGAGAGTCAAGAGAGACTCGAGAAAATAACAAAAAAGACCTCCACAGAAAGTACTCTAATTTATAAATGAGTGTACGAGTATATAATTGCACTAGATTGCATAAGAGTATGATTATATAATTGCACGAGATTGCATACGAGTATGAGTATATGGTTGCACTAGATTGCATATGAGTATGAGTATATTATTGCACTAGATTGCATAAGAGTATGATTATATAATTGCACGAGATTGCATATGAGTATGATTATATTGTTGCACTAGATTGCATAAGAGCATGATTATATTATTGCACTAGATTGCATAAGAGCATGATTATATTATTGCACTAGATTGCATATGAGCATGAGTATATTGTTACACGAGATTGCATAAGAGTATGATTATATTATTGCACTAGATTGCATATGAGCATGAGTATATTATTGCACGAGATTGTATAAGAGTATGATTATATAATTGCATGAGATTGCATATGAGTATGAATATGTTGTTGCACTAGATTGCATGAGAAGTAT